CCAGCCGTGGAAAAGAGCTAACAGGTCATATCGTTCGATAACTATAGCCTTCCTGGTAGTGAATATATTAGACGCCATGCTACTTCCGTACCACAGGGTGGGCCAAATAAGACCTACCATCCAAACTTCATAGCTCCATAGATCCATCTTGTTAAAACCAAATTAGGATGCTGCTCTGCCGTTGGTCGTTAAAAGTTCTTAATCATTGTTCTGTAAGAAGCCCCAGAAATTGGTTTTGACATTTCATCCTCATTCTCGAATATGGGCAGATAACACCACACCAAACAGTGCACCGGGATGGGTGTAAGAGGTGCTGGTCTGTTGCTCTGGGATTTTCAGAGCCCACAGTCTACAGTTTTTCTTGGAAATGCGCTTCATCCGACATCAAAACAATAGCTAAAAAGTCAATATGTGTGGCTAATTGTGTAAAACGAATAGTAGTTGTTGTTGGTTGGTCCACTATGATTTTCCAAGAGATTAACTATCACATGCAGAAAGAAAATAACAATAATATTAAAAAATAAAGAAGTTATACGCGTTTACCATTGGTAGGTCTTATTTGACCCACCCTGTACATACACGTGTCACCTGACCCCAGCGAAGCCTCATAAAGTGCACAGTACAACCCCAACACTTGACGTCATAAATACACTCGTATCTCGCGGCCGTAACCCGCCCATGTGATAGAACCGTCCTACCAGCGCTGGCCTTTTTAAAGGCTTTTGAACCCCGTCTGTCACCCCACGCTGCCGGAGGAATTCTCTCTCCCACCAGGACTATAATGGTTGGCGTTGAATTACCCGAGTGGTTGACAGTTGTTAGTAATTTTTCCTATAGGGTGGTGTCCCATCGCCGAGATTGTTTAATTGTTATATTTTGAAATTTCGTCAGCTACCGGAGAGAGTTCCCCTGACTTCCTACGTTGGCGATTTCTCGACATTGGCGCTCGGGCTCTGAAATCCACTTTCTAAGAATACTGGATCAAATTAACAAAACATGATACCAAAACCCTTGTAAAAATCCTGTGCCGATGGCTGAGAGCAACAACATATAAAATCTAATGAAGGAATTTTCGAAACAGCTTTTAGCGAAATCAGTACGAAAACACTTTAGATGCGAGTTCCTTCGCTTATATGTTTTTTCTAACCGAGACAATTTCGCGCTGTTCCAACAGTCTCAATGGTAGAATGACCAAGGCACGGGCGGGTTGAAACCTCGGACAGCGGATTTTTTTTTATTTTTATTTTTAATTTAACTTTCCTCTAAATTTTAGATTTTATTGATTTAAAAAGAAAAATATATATTTTTTAAATTCATTTAACATTAACTTATTTTATGTATCTTTTTTACTAAATTTTCGTTTAATATTCAGATTTTAATGCTCTAATAAGCAAAAACACTTGGTTTTAATTTCATTTGATTTTTAGGCACTTTTTCTTTTTTTATTCAGTTTTCTCTTAATGTTTATTGTTTTAAAACGAAAAAAATATATTTTTTTTTATATAATTGAATTTTCAGAAATTTATTTTGTTTGTTTTTCTTTTTTAAATTAATTCTTTCTTTTCTTAATTAAAATTTTAAATTTTGTTGTTTTAAAATACTGAATATTTTCCTTTAATTTAATTTCTATGAGCTTTTTATTTTTTTTAATATAGTTTTTCTTTTTTAAAAAAATTTTAAACTTTCTAATTTTTATTGTTTTAAACACATAAATTTCATCTAACTTCTATACTTATATTGTGTTTTTTTATTTAATTTTACTTTTCTTTTTTAAATTTAACTCTCTTTTAATCTTTAGATTTCATTGTTTTAAATAGAAAAATGTTTATCTTCTAATTTTGTTTACAAAATTTTTAGAAATTTATGTTATGTATTTTTTCTTTTGTTTTTAAATTTAATTTTCTTTTAATTTTTAAACTTTAGTGTTTTTTAAGGGGAAAACATTTTGTTTTAATTTTATTAAATTTTTAGGAATCTTATATCTTTTTTCTCTTTTTAGGGACGTATTTTATTTATTATTTCAAATTTATTTATTTTTATTTTTTAATATAATTTTTTATTAATTTCTAGATTTTATTGTTTTGAAAACAGAAATTTTTTGAAACTTATTGTACTAATTTTTTCTTCTTTTGATCTATTTATTTTTAACTAAATTTTCTTTTAATTTTTAGTGTTTATTTTGTTGAAAATTATACATTTTATTTAATTTTTTAATTTTTAGAAAACTTATTGTTAAAATACAAACAGAGCTACGCCAAGACCTCCTTCTTAGCAGATCTATCAATTATTAGTTTTTCGAAGCACAGAAAGCGGTTTCAAGAATGACAATTGCCTACGGAAGACTCGTGCCTTTAAAATAACTATGTTGTGTCGAAAGACTCAGATGTTATTTCCGTTGATTTGGTTACCTGTCACCGTATTCGTTGAATTTTTAAGAGCTTATGTAAGTCCATGTCGTTAAAGGGCTTGTATAGTTCGTCATTTCATCTACTTTTAACCGTGGATACAGTTTAAGAAAACACATTTACAAAGAACTATGCTACTGAGTAACCCAGTGAGGGGGATGAAAGTATTAAATTGACAAAAAGTAGTAGGGAGGCACTGTGGGCAATGGTATCCATCAGTTACCACCTCTACATGGTTGTAAGCCACCAAGGTCCGCAAAAAACTCCGGAAGCTTTGTCCAGAGGATGCATCAGACTAAGCCGAGCTTATTTTGAATTGACATGAAATTGTAACTTTAGAAAGTTTTCTTATATGGTAACTTAGAAGTGGATATGCAAAAATTTCCTAAAGGAAATAGTTTAATTTATTTCAAATTTGTTTTTTAAAAGCTTTTTGTTTTTATCTATTTTGTTTTATACATATATTCATGAGATACTTATTTCTACTTATGCTTACTGGTTGACAGCCCACCTGCTTGGCGAGAGGCCCTGCAATTTGTCACTGCGTCTGTCGTAGTCATTGCGCAATAAAAATTCTTTGCTGAATATCTGAATGCGAACTTACAAATACGAACTGAAATTATTACAAATCATGAAATGTAAGGTTTACGATGGTCGGTGGTACACACATACATACATACATACATACATACATACATATCACTATATGTAGTTTGGGGTATGTTCGTCAGGTCGATTGTCGAGTTGTCATAGTGTCTGCTAGTTGAGAGGTCGGTTGGCTCGTTGGTTAGTCCTTCGGTCGGTCGGTGGGTCGCTGAGTCGCCAAGTTCCTGAGCCGTTAAGTCGTTTACCGATTCTCTGTGTAATTGTGCTTACTTAATATGTGCATACGTCCCTTTAGCCTCTGACTTGTATGTATGTTGCACCGATGCTGTCATTGCCACAGCCGACCTTATAGGCATTGTGGCATCGTTCTCTTCGTTTTCGCTTAAGATGCGAACGTTATTTTACATTTCGTCATTGCTGTTGCGTTGCCAATAACGATTGCGTCCATTTGACTGTTCTACGCTTATTCTGCCAGCCAGCATCAATTACAAATACGCACAGTGCAGCAGCGAGAGCGCGTCGTGTGTAAATGTGAAAGTGATGTATTACCATCGGCGAGAATGCGTTTCCTTCCACCTTCGATTTACATAGCATTGCGCAGTCGCCATCTCTTACTCGCCGCGTCCGTCTGTGAGAAAGTTTAAGCTGATGCTGGTGGTGCAGATTCAGCAGACGAGATTGTTGGAAGCTGGAGCAAGCACATTTTGATTTTGCAGCAGCATCCCACAGCTAAGAACGCAGTGAAGTGTGAAGCATGATGGTTGGTAGAGAAAGGAGACAGAGGAAGAGGGGGGCGGTTTGGCAGTCTCGTTTTGAAGTGAGATGGCACGCCATTTGCTTGAATCTGTATTATTGCTGTCTTGCTTGCCACAACTGTGGCATTAGCAGCTGCCGGAACGCTGTACCGGAAATTGATTGCTGCCAAAGTCGACGGTGGCAGCGCAGTTGACAGCGAAAGGTAAAATTTACACCCGGTATTTAGGCATATATAGCCAGTGAGGACAAAAACATATTTACACATGTAACGCGTGCATGTAAGTATGTATGTATACATACATATGTGCAGAGTGTTGCTGGATTTAGTAGAATGGCATGACTGGTGGGTGGGGTTATATACAGCGTGGCGACGAATAATTGTTACCCCGGTTTTTTTTGAGAAACAAAAGGGTCCTTTATAGATTTTGCGAAAAAAGTATTTTATTGTTAATTTTCCACAGATTTTACTTTAGTTGTATTAGTTAGTTTTTAAATTTTAATCCTTATCTACATTTGCCAGCAGTGCAAACTTTGAGAGGAAAGTTCATTTGGCACGCAAGTCTTTTTCAGGTGTATTTTTTCTTAGGCTTTGTATAAAAAAGTACAAAAAAGAAAAAAAGTGTATAAGGTTGGTCGAATGAATGGACGTCCTAGTCTCCAGTTCCGAGTCTATTCGATTTTTGAGTATGAGACCTTATGTTGGACAGAAGGGGGAGTATAAGGGATTCAAAATGGAGAAAATTAGCGTATGGTTACAGAAGATATGGAATAAATTAAGTGACTAGGACCTGCGTGCCAAATGAACTTTTCTCTCAAAGTTTACACTGCTGGCAAATGTGAATAAGGATTAAAATTTAAAAACTAATTAATACAACTAAAGTAAAATCTGTGAAAATTAACCAAAAAATACCTTTTTCGCAAAAAACATGGGTAACAGTTATTCGTCGCCACGCTGTAGTATTAGAAACTTATTTTCACATGTTGTGTGATGTGATATTCTGAAGCTGCATTCAGCGCTGCATCGCTGTTGGCATCGCTAGGTTTGCATAGATTTTTGCATTGAGCGAGGCTGTGCTCTTCCACGGAGCTGGTTTGCCAATTGGCGCGCGCGCCCTCTCTCTCTCTATCTGTGCCGCTCTCTCGTTGCTGTGCTATTGTGAAGCTGCGCTGTTCCTAGTATCCTTTTGAAGGATCTGCGCGATTTTCGCGTCTATAACAGTGTACCTTGATGCTGCTAGTAGTGGCAGTTGAACGCGAGCCCTTGGCTGGAAAGGGTACACAGCTCAGCACTTACCACGGCATACGGGCACCAAGCGAGTAGTAAAACAGCACACAAAAGCAAACATACAGAATTTAGTGGTGCTGCAAATTGTGTGAAAAAGTGAAAATTTAAGTAAATTTAGACAATAAAGAAATCTGTGAATAATTAACCAAGCCGAGAAAAGGGTTTATATCAAATACGAACTGAAACTAATACTTTAAAACTGTTGGATATTGAATGCTTTTTTGCTGGTATAGAAACTTAAGAAAATAATGAAATTTTTTTCAATGCAAGCGCTTGAGTTGAATAAAAAAATTGATACTTAAAAAATAAAAAAAATCTTTAACCCTTTTGCCACCTTCTGCAGTCAGCGTTCTTTCTCCGACTCCTCACGGTGTTAGTTCGTATTTATTTGTTGTTTTATGTACACACATACATAGTATAGTGTGCGTGTGGGTGTTGGTGTTTTTCATGTGTGCGGCGGCGACGAGGAAATATCGAGTTTACCTTGCCTTAACGCAGCGCAGCGCAGCACAGCACTACCACCATTGTTGATTTGCACATATTGCGAGTTTGCATTGCTCTATTCTAACAATGTTTCTGTAGCCATTTGTGTGTGTGTGTGTGTTTGAGTGTGGGCGATCGCAAGCGCACACATACATACATACATTGACATAGACAATCGTATTTTTTTTTGCCTACTATTTGCCATTTTAAAAAGCAACAATCATCTATTCTTTGTGTGGTAACGAGTAGTGGCGGCGGCGTTAGGGTTGAGCTGACTCAATGGGGGGCGGCCAACTTCAATGGCAACGAGCGAAAGCAAAAAAATAAATAAATAAATAAAAATTACTAAAAATACCGAGATAGAATCGCTGTTGCAATAAGCACAGGCCAGTCGAGCCATGAGCACGCTCGTTGCGTATGCCGCGTGGGTGGGTGGATTGGTTGGTAGGCGCGAGTTGAGTTATTATTGAAACTTTTTTTTTTGTTTGCATTTCAAGTGAGGCTGCTGTGACACAAAGTCTCACGCACGCATGTTCATAACGGGGTTGCATGGGAAAGCACCAGTTGTTGCGGGCCGCAAATAACGCAACTCGGCAGATCAAGGCATACGCGCCGCACCCCAACCGCGAGCGCCTTCGCATGCCATTATTGTCGCTATTGTCACCGTTCCGTTGTGTAGCTGAAAGTGTCGCACACCTAATGCTAACAGCTACATATGTACGTACATGTGTACCTATTACATGTTACTTGCTGCCTTTCTGACTCTTCTCCATTCCAGCTGCACTCGACAGTTGATGCGTAGCCAACATCAATTCGGTGTCCGTTCGTGCGCTGTTTTAAGTTTTTAGATCTTCTGCCGCCTTGCCGTTTCATTTAAGTAACGACTTACATATTACATTTTTATTTATATTTATTTTTTTTGACATTCGTGTCACTGTAATTGTGTGTTGTTGTTGCCGTCAATACTCAACTTATCCATGTTCGCCGCTAGCAGCGTTTTTTCTGCCCGCTGCGCGCACTTTACTTAATTAGAAAATTTGAAAACAAGTCACACACAGAAAGCATAAATAGGCAGAACATAGAAAATGTAACTGTTCTACGCTACGATGATGAGGGTCGCAGAAAAAGCGCTTAATGGTTGTTGTAACGCGCTCTTAAACTTTTTCACTCGACGCGCATAGCAAGTACACAAAAAAAATAAAGGAAAAAAAATTAATAAATTGAACTGTGCTGTAGACGATAAAGAAAGCAGAAGGCGCACATTAAACAACAGCAAAACAAAAACAAGCTAGAAAAAAACACTGAACTTTGAAATGCATAAGCGTACAATAAAGGCAAAAAACTTTGTCTTCGTCTGCGTTTGGACTTGGACTTGGTCTCGATGCTAAAGCGTAAACGTAGTAGGCGAGCGTAGCAATAGTGTGTGTGTGAGACGCACATGCAGGCATACATTCAAGTAGCGCTACACACGCACATACTATACACACACTCACGCGCGTGCTCGCGCGCGCTCACACTCCATTTTCTACATCACTTTGTGCCTGTGCATCAGCCTAGCGGCTCAGCACCTGCCCCATCGTCAGCGTCAGCGCCAGCGTCAGAATCAGAAACAGCCGCAACCTCAATATAAGCGGCGGCGGCGGCATAGCATCACCGTTAGCTTCCCAACCTATCGCTGCCAACATCAAACGGCCGCGCCACTGTTCAGTGTCCTTAGAGTTGTGTGTGTATGTATGTTTGTTGGCTGTGGACTGTGTCGNGCATAGCATCACCGTTAGCTTCCCAACCTATCGCTGCCAACATCAAACGGCCGCGCCACTGCTCAGTGTCCTTAGAGTTGTGTGTATGTATGTTTGTTGGCTGTGGACTGTGTCGGCTGTTGGAGTTCAGTTCAGTTTGTGTTTGCTTTGCTGCTGTAACTGCTGCCTTCACCCCAAAATCTGTTATTGATTTTGGATTCAAACACACGCACGCACGCACGCACACACACGCGCATACATACATACTTCGTCGTCGTCGTCGTCGTCCTCTTCGCAGGCTGCTAACGAGAGAGAGTCAACCAACAGCATACAAACAACCACTAAACGAATAGCAGTAAACGCATACGGTGTTGGCGCAGCAGCGCGAGTGTGTAAAAGGNCGCAGGCTGCTAACGAGAGAGAGTCAACCAACAGCATACAAACAACCACTCAACGAATAGCAGTAAACGCATACGGTGTTGGCGCAGCAGCGCGAGTGTGTAAAAGGGAGCCAACGAAGCTGCAGCAGGAGCTGGAGCAGGAGCAAGAAATAACTGTAGCAAAGCCCACAGTGCGCCCGCCTGTCAGCCTGTCAGCCAACCAGCCCCCCAAGCAGCCGTGCAGATGCCAGCAATATTGTAGTAAGTATGACTTTGCAACTTTTTTACACAATTTTTCACAGAAGTTTACTTTAGCTACATACATAAGTATGTATGTAGGTATATCGTTTTTTTTTCGTATTTACTTTTTCTCACATTTTGTTTTCTTTTTCAAATACCTCTTGCATTTTTATTTCCATTTGCCTAGTTGTTGGTTGCTTTTATTGTTGCTGCTTTTGTTACAGTCCTTCTGCTTAGCATTGCGCTCTTCATTTCATTACATTTCTGTATCGTATATCGCTTAGCATTGCGCCCTTAACCCCACCCACACCTCCCGCCCGCTGCGTTGTAGACTGCTCCTTCCAACCTACTTGAACATTTGCAAAGTGCTCATTTCGTATTGAATTCAATGCGGAAGTGGCAGCAATTTTTAAATGTTTCATAAATTTGACAATTTTATTATTGGCATTCTGCATTCTTGTCTGCTATGCCACAAGTATTCTGCGAAGTTGAACACAGTTTGCGCCGCAGCTCTTTTTCGCACGACACAAGTTAAGTCTGTCTAAAATCCAGGTACACTTAGCGTCGCACACTCAATGCCAGTCTGGCCACCACAGTTCGACTTGCTGCGAGACTTGTTTGTTGTTTGGCTTTTCACTCGTTCACTCGTTCGCTCGTTCGCTCGTTCGTTTATTTTAATTAAATTTTCCTTTGCGGTTTTTATTTGTAACATCTGACACGGCAGCTATTTGCAGCCGAGCAACTGGCAAGCTGGATCCTATCAATGTTATTTTAGTATGTTCTTTGGCTTAGTTTAATTTGTTCTTGGCATTTTATTCTGCAGTTTTTCTTTGCTACGGATGCTAACAGCAATTGTGCTGTAGTATCTCTTGCTATTGCTATTGCCGTTGTTGCTGTTGTTGCTCTTTCTTCAGCGTAGTCAGGGTTGTTAGGAAACTTTCCACGCAGCAGTTGATTAATCGGAAATACCAATTTAATTAAGAAGAAATTTTCAACTTCCTGCAAATGTTTGGCCTTAGCTTCGTTGTCGTAGTAGCGTGTGAAAGATGTGAAATTAATTGAGAATTAGAAAGTTTTTTTCCCTCATTTATTGCATTACTGAGTTTTTCTTCATTTATTGCATTACTGAGTGAGTTTTCAGCTGCGTTGTTTATGTATTCCTTTAATTGAAAAGTTAAATAAACATGTAAGTGGCAAATCGCTTGCAAATGAAGCAACATAGCAAAAAGTGCTTGTTGTCTAAAGAATTGCATTTGATAAAATGCTTAGATTACAAATTACATAAAAAGCGAAGCGAAAAAAAAATAAATATTTATTCTCTAATGAAATCATTGAAATTGATATAAAAATTATCTTTTCAACAGAACAAATAAAGTATTATTTTAATTTTGTTTACGTTGGTTAATCTAAAGACAATAATATACAGGTGCTTACGGTGAAAAGTTAAATTAAGAAAGGGGCAGCCATTTTTATTTTAGTGCGCCAAGAAAAATCAAACCCATACATACTTTTTTCTTAAGAGTTATAGCCTATTTCCACCGAAAGCTTAACTGCAGTTAAGAGCTCAGCTAAGCTCCAAGAATTTGCGTAGATATAGGATGATTGGAAGGATTTACTTCTTACTTATTGACTTTCGTTTGCTTGTACTTAATATGACCAAATAACCGCCTTCGAGTGGTAATCTCCTTTTCCAATAGGCATAAACTGCAGTTAAGGCTGGGTGGAAATGAAGCATTATTAAAGCATAAGATTTGGAGAAAATATTCTCTAACGAATTATTCAAGCTGAAAGTTCTATAATTATAACAACGTGCAACAGAATTTTACATACAAAAAATCAATATACTCGCGAAGTTACGGCCTAATATAGTAAAGATCTATCCGCATACATCAGTGCCGTATAAGCTTCAGTGAAAAATAAATCAATAAATCAGGCTCAAATAGAGTTGTACAGACAATGCTTCTTCAGTTTTCTTTTAGTTTTTTTTAATTACTCGGTAACGAGATATTTTTGTGTATTTCACTGACTATCCACAGTGTGTCAACTATATGGAGTCAGGTGGAAATGATAGTTAATTAACCTGCTGAAACTTGACATTTGCTATAATTTTACTAAGGAATAAGAAATTATGAAATTTGGTAAAAAACGGGATAATCGCCACGCGCTCCAGTCTTTCATCCGATTTCGATGAAACGTAGTTGGTCCTCTCTCTTTTATTAGAAAACCTTAAATATAATAAATTAAAAATTAAATATAAAAACGAAGGTTGTACTTAAAACTTCTCATTTCTCCCATTGATCGAAAGATTCTTTTCGCGAAATTACGCAACAAAAAACCGAAAATCTAAAAATTTAAAAAAATTGAGAATTACATGCATTTTTCAAGACCTGACGAAACGGCACTCACTTTTTTTTTACTAATATTCTCAAGCGTATATATTTCCAAATAAATGATAAATACCTTCACCGAAATATTAAATCTCACCTAAAGAATTGATTACAGTCGAAAAAGAAAGACTTGCTTTATTGGGTAACGTTTTTAGAGAGCGGTGTGCGTAAATGATGTAAAATTTTGTATGTGTGACTTTAACTTTTCCCCTCTCGAAGCCCAACCGTTTTTTTTTCCAACTGCCTCCATATAGTCGAAACACTGTGCGACCTGCGATTGATTATTCTATTCCAAGTTTTGTTTCATATGGAGGGAAAAATTGAGTTGGCACGGATATATCCAGAAATATAACTTGTATACAAAAAAAAACAAATGGATACCGGGTTTAAAAGTAATATTTGGAGCAATATACGGAGTAATTTAATTTCTGGTTTTATCTGAGCCTTTTATTTAATTTTCTTACTCTTCCTCGTATAGAGCACTGATGTGTATGTAGATATGCAGATAGACCTTAAAACTGGGTTTTTTGTTTTTTCCCCGACTTCGGGCGTTTTTAAAAGATTTTGAAATTTCGAAGATATGATTAAATCAGAATTTTTTTTTTTTAAATTTAGCGCGCTGTAGAATAACAGTATTGGTACCAAATAAAGAGAAAATTCTGCGGAGTTAAAAACATGAGGTTTTTTTTTGGCGCGTAAAGACAAATAGTTATTGAAAATGCGTTTTTAACATTTTTTTTCTTCAATATCCTTGGAAATTTTATATATATATTTTTGAAAAAAAAAACTCAGTGCGTGTAGTCCCTGAGCGCAGAGAAAGTACATACATACATATGTGCATATTTTCTAATATACAAAATATATTTATTTACAATTTTTTTAACGAGCTTTAATTTTTTATATTTTTTTTTATAATCAACTGCTAAATTTAGTAATTATTTGTGGCTGAGAAAACATTAATATCTACAATATTAACTAGTGGATTGGGGCAAAAACTGCATCAATGGTAGTCCCTCCGTTGGTTGTTGGATCATTTTTACATAAACCATTTTCAATGGAAATTTTTCTTTGAAAAATTTTGTCAGTTCATCAGATTCGGCTATTGAAAAGTTAAAATTTAAATCTGCGAGAATTACAGGTCGATTATAACAGTCTTCATCTTCATCCTCATCTTCATCTTCATCTTCATCTTCATCTTCATCTTCATCTTCATCTTCATCTTCATCTTCATCTTCATCTTCATCTTCATCTTCATCTTCATCTTCGTCTTCATCTTAATCTTCGTCTTCATCTTCATCTTCATCTTCATCATCGTCATCTTCATCTTCATCTTCATCTTCAGTTTATTCAAAACCGTTTCATTTGATAACCATATTGGGATATTTCATTTATTTTAATAAATAATTTAAATTACACATCTACGGATCAAGCCCTTTGACACCTCATTTTTCAAAATCGAACGAACGATACAGATTTTATGACTTGGTGTTAAATATTTAACGCAACCCTCTGCGGCAGAGAAATCTTGAATTAGATTTTCTAACATGTGGCAACTCTTTTCATGGAACTAAAGCTTGTTGCACGTGACACCTCATTTTTGAAAATCGAACGAATGATACAGATGTTATAACTTAATGTTGAATGGTTAACGCAACCATCTCCGAACTCGACTAAGAAGTTTCACTTCAAAAACTTATACGTTGAGGAGCAATATATGTATATCTACACGATCTGGTCGTAACTTTATTAGTTTAATATAAAAACAATTATTACTTAAAAGTGCATTTTCAATACCCAGAACAGAACAGTACAGAAAATATTATTATTCTTTTTTTTTGTTTTTTTTTTTTATTCAACAGAACGTTTTCTCATTTCCTCCCGTTTTTATTCTCGTTTCCTCTTTCACTTTTTTGTCCTTTCTCTTGCTTTCCGTCTTCTGCATCAAAGCTTCAACAAAAACGCCATGTCAAAACTGAAAATTCCATTTGCTCGGCGCTAGCGCCGCGCTATTGTGGGATGCTCAATACAAATTGTACGGGCATGAGGATTTTTGACAGTTTTGACAGTTGTTTGGCGCTTGACGCGCCAATTTAGGGACCACAGTTAGGCGGTTATAGCGCCAATCAATAAGAAGAAGAAAAATAATTTAAATGATATTGCTTATGACTTTATTTTGCCTTATACTACTATTCATCTGATTAGGGTCAAAAGTTCTACACAAGTATAGCAATCAGCTGTCATTGTGCGGACAACTTAAAGTTGTTGTCGTGTTTACGGACTGCGTTATTATTTATGGGAGTTAACGAAGGGTTCTAAAAGCTTAATACTGACACGCATTACGAATATATGTATGTATATATACATTATATGCATACACGAACATACCATATATGCTACATAGTAGAGAATTTCCATCAGCCGCGAAAAATTTATTTATACGCTTCGTGGGTGTGAGATGAAAAAAATAGCTGCTGCGAAAGGAAAGTTGACGGTGGTTGCTCATGGTAGAAATTTCTATAGTATTATAAAATGTAAATTTTGTGTTTGTGTTGATGCCCCAACATTAGCATAAGTAGTGTTTTATTATTGTGTAATGGTATGATACGTTTTTATTTTTTGCATCCATAATGAATG